AAAATCATCAGGTCCAGTCCCCCTACGCATGGGCAGGAAAGACTGCTGGGGTCAGATGATCCTAGCAAGGTGAATGTTCTGATGTTTTTTGAAGATATCCAAGTAGGTGATTGTACCACCTTTGGGAGGAGTCTGTTCCAGACCCTGGACACTCAAGTTGTAAAGAAGTTTTTCCTTATGTCTAATCTAAAGCGGTCTTCTGGCAATTTATGACCGTTAGTCCTAGTCTTCCTCTGGGGATCCTTGGTGAACAGACTTTCTCCTAATTCCTAATGTGGGCCCCTTATATACTTATAGGCTGCCACCAAGTCCCCTCTGAGTCTTCTCTAGGCTCCACAGACCCAAGTCGCTTAGCCTCTCATTGTATGACCTACTCTCCATACCTCTAACCATAGGTATAGCCCCCCTTTGGACTCTCTCAAGCCTCTCCACATCCTTCCTGAAGTGTGGTGTCCACAACTGGATGCAGTACTCCAGCTGTAGCCTCACCAAGGATCTCAACTATGAAATATTTAAGATCCTAAAACATTTCTCCATCTTATGTTTCAAAGTAGAATTCTGCTAGAGAGAGAAGACTCAGTTCTCTATCTTGTAAGTCTAATTTCTCTATTTTCCTCTAGCAACATGGTAGCTTCTCAATGTATTTAAATTCTTTACTTAAATTCTAGAGTACTAAATGATCATCCAAAGTTATATGGCTCACACAGACCTCAGAATGCACCAGATTATTTTATTACACAGGAATTATTCTAAACCTTACCAAATAGAATTCTTACCAAGGATTTTGTTCATCAGTTTTGAACTGCTTTATATGTGCCCTCTGTAATTCTAATCCTTTCCATCTGTGTACTACTTATTTAGCTTGATATGTAAATTTAGGTTTAGGGTTTTTTTAATCTTCAACATTGATCTATAATACTTTTAAGAACATAATAAATAGTTTAGAAGATATCAACTGGGTGTGCAGAATATTATGAACACAATTTACCTAATTTAGCAAATAGCAAAATTTAATAAAAAGAATGTGGTAGCCTGAACATCCACACTTTGCAGTTTTACAGAAAATTTCACGATGAAGTTGAAATCTAGCAAATGAAGTTTGAAACTACCAAGAGGAAAGCTGTTTAATAAAGAAGCTTTTTAAATTTGCAGATCAAATTTGAAAAATAGTTATAAAATCAGAAGGCTATATACCTTGTAGTGCCAAAGGGCAGAAGTTTTGTAATTTGAGTGCAAACTGTAATTATGTGTCCAAGCTATGAGAATTAACAATTTTAAAACAGCGATGCTTACATCTGTTTTACTAATCTTTTTTTATATTTAAAATAGTGTCAATTTAAGAGTAAAAAAAAGACTTATATCTGCTTCATTCTCATTCATTCATGACTGAAAGAGATCCATTTCCTTAAGGGTATCTACAGGCATTCAGCCTCCAAGGAGACTGCCGAACTGCCCCTCTCCCCAGCCCCGCACCTCCCCCTAGCTCGGGAGCTGTCAGCAGGATAGGAAGGGGGAAAGGGAGGGAGCAGCCAGCACAGAGCTGCCAGTTACTTTTGAATGGCTAGAGCTGGGAGGGGAGGGGATGGGAGGTGGAACAGAGCCCCCTCACACCATGGGCCTGACCCACGCCATGGGCCTAACCCAATACCCCACCTGGGGTAGCTGGCAGGGGGGGCATGAGGCAAGGGGGTTCCATTCCACCGCAACCCCCCCCTCCCAGCAAGCTCTGGCCATTCAAAAGCAGCTGGCAGCTGTCCTGGCTGCTCCCTCCTCTTTACCCTCCCTCCCTTGTTGACAGGAGTGACCAATGTGAGCACCAGCCCAGGTCCATCCCCACACAAAAAATTAATCCTGGAGGAAACACAGGTTCCCCAAGATGTTCTGCGTTAGGGCATCTTAATCTACTACTTCATTCTATCAGGATTAATTTTTTGTGCAATTCACCATTTTAAAAGTGCAGCCATGCATGAGTGTTAAGTCATGGCTGTAGAGCACTTTCAGGGGCCTGGTCATGCAAAAAATGTCTCCTGTGTAAGCTCCCTAAGTGGAATGTAGTAGCCAAGGGAGACCGAGACTTCTAAGACAAAAAGTAAGGTAGGTAATACACCTCTTTAAAAACTTGTATTGAGGAAAAAAAGTGATACGTCATGGTTTATAGACTGCTACTTTAGCACTTTGCTTTACTTTATAACCCAAAATACACAGCTTTATTGAAAGTGGCCAAGTATTAGATGCTGTTCTTTTCAGCTGGAGACACTATATTACAGTGTATTTGATTTTATTTGGGAATTGGCAAAATACATTTTTGGACACAGAAGATTCCTTTGGGGAGTCTAATGAACCGTATGGATGAAATACGTGCGGCAAATTCCCAGAAGAATAGTTTTTCTTTAGATTCTGCATATGAAAGGTTTCTTCTGTAGTCAGAAGGGACACAAAGTACAACTCTTCCCAGTATATTTATATGGTGCCAAAATATAACATATGGTTTATAGATAATGTTATTGCTACAGAGAATTTATAATCCAAGTAGACAATGCACCAGTGGGGTCTACAGAGACAGAGATGCAACAAGCTATAAATGATACAGACAAATGTTTAACATATAAAAGTAGCATACAGTGGCTACATCCCTCATGATCTACTGGGCTACTGGACTGATTAAGCTGGGCAGAGTCTTCCTTTAATCAAACCAACTTTGACATCAGAACTTCATGGTTTGTTTGTTTTAGAATAAACAAAATAAGCAAACTGATCTGGATTTTAAGATTTCATTGTGCTAATTAGGCAGAGAAACTTTAAAACCTGAATATAAGGATAAAGATGCAATTAGCTGGGATTTAATGAGCTGTGTAATGATAAGTGACAGGACTATGTTAACTTTACAGCCTCAGTTTCCTGACTAGATGAACTCTTAAACACTGCAAAAGTCCTACTCTAAGGCAAGTTAACTTTTCTAACATAACTGTTCAGAAATGAACAAGAGCATTCAGATAGCTGGCCTACAGAGTTTCCTGGCTATATACAATATTTTGGCAACAGGACACCCTTATATTTGCAAGACCGTCTGTTGCTTTTAATTAAAGCAAGCATTATTTTTAACACTAACCTCTACAAATTTAATTATCATACTATATCATTACAACATAAAATACGTGCATAGATGAGTATGTGCGCCAAGAAGAGAATCTTCTGAAGTAGCTGCAGAAGGGTATAATATCAAGGGTAGCTTATATCACCTGACACAGCAAATAAAGTTTGGGTGCTGAACAATGTGCACAAAGAATACCGATTATAATAATAAGTTGAGAAACATGAGCCCTGAGGGAAAGTAAACCCTAACAGTCAAAAAATGGTTTATGTGGCATTCCTTCAGACTTCAAAAAGAAAGCCTTAAGGTTAAAGTATACAACTGGGACTCGAGAGATCTGGGATCTTCAGTCAGTCCTTTCACAGACTTCCATGTGACCTTGGGCAAGAAACAGTCTCTCTGCATAACTCCATTACCAGTCTTAAAATGAGGAAAAAGTTACAGAAAACTGCCCCGAGATAAGTATTATTTAATGTTTTTTATGAGGTACAATGAGATTCTGGGGCAAGAAGAACTGCCAGATTATTAAAGCTGTCAAAAATCAATAACATCAATGCTGTAATAGAACATTAATCTTTCCTCCTTGCTTATATGAACTCTGATACAGTCAATACTTGCTTGGTCACAGAATTTCTTCCTGCAGTTTCCTTCTCTTTTTCAGTGCACAGCAAGCATTTGTTGAAATGAGACAGGGATCCTGTAGATCTGTACCTTAATGCTGACCATATTAAATTTCAGTTTTATTTTCTGGTAACTGAAGTTTTTACACTACCCTTAAATTGACTGCATTCAAACTTTCAAACAGACTGTGTAAATAGTTAGATAATGAAATTAAAACATAGTAGGTGCATCTCCATGAGTTGCTAATGTACAGTCATTAGTTCAGTAACCAGAGTTACTGCGCAGGGACACTGGTGAACCTCTTTTAGGTTATGATATTGTGCAGTAGCCTAATACTACTGCACAGTAGCGTATTAGCACTGTCCATGCTGTGACACGCTACTGCACAGTATTTTTTAGCTACTGTGCAGTCAGCATTTCATGTAGATGCTTCCAGTGATGTACACACATGGGGAGATGGACAAACTTTGTGCAGAGCAGCTTTAATGATAGCATTTCCCATGCTTCACTTTGCAACAGTTGGATTCTCTCAATATAATTTGTCATACAGAGAAATGTGGGTACTTATCACATTAAAACTAAGTAGAACCACATTATTTCTTGATTCTACTACTAACTTGATACCAGATCTTAGGTATAATAAAATCTCTCTGCTTCCATTTCCTGATTACAGAAATGGGGACACTTCTGCTTACCAACTTGCAAATGCTTTCAGAAACCAGTGTAGGTGAGATGGGGTGGTGGGGGAGGGGAAGAATCACATATAGCTTCTGACATGTAGGCTTATTCACATTTTCCTTCTTAGAATTAGAGAAAACTAGAGTTGGAAGAGACCTCAGGAGGTCATCTAGTCCAACCTCCTGCTCAAAGCAAGACCACCCCCAACTAGATCATTCTAACCAGGGCTTTGTTGAGCCAGGTCTTAAAAACCTCCAAAGATGGAGATTCCACCACCTCTCTACATAATCTGTTCTACTGCTTCACCACCCTCCTAATGAGAAAGTTTTTCCTAATATCCAATCTAAACCTCCCTTGCTGCAACTTGAAACCATTGCTCTTGTTCTGTCATCTGTCACCACTGAGAACAGTCTAGCTCCATTCTCTAGCTACTTGGAACCATCCTTCAGGTAATTTAAAGGCTGCTATCAAATCCTCTCAATCATCTTTTCTGCAGACTAAATAAACCCATTTCCCTCAGCCTCTCCCTAGAAGTCATGTGCCAAAGCCCCCTAACCATTTTCGTTGCCCTCTGCTGGACTCTCTCCAACTTGTCCACATCCTTTCTGTAGTGAGGGGGTGGGGGGCAAAACTGGACACAGTACTTCAGATGTGACCTTACCAGTGCAAAATAAGGCAGAATAATTACTTCCTTTGATCTGCTGGCAAGGCTCCTATTAATGCAGCCTAGTATGCTGTCAGTCTTCTTGGCAACAAGGGCACACTGCTGATTTATATCCATCTTATTGTGCACTGTTGTGATATGTTGGGTTACAATAGCTTCTTGGAGCCAATAAGTATTAAATATATACTGATAAGCCTTATTTTTGTATTCACTTGTTCATCTTTGCACATCTTCACTGTGATGCACATACACATTTTGCACAATGTTTCTATGACCAAAGATCACAATATGACCAAAGCTTTCATCTAGGTCCTCTAATGTCCCAGTCCTTAAATGGATAAATCAAGCTGAGAAGTGAAGACCATAGAACAAAGTGCCAGTAGCCATTATATTTGATCTTTCCCAAGTTTAACTGTTGCAAAAGGTAAATCACTACTTGCCAGGTGACTTGAGACAAAAGTAGCCTACCATAAAGCTTTGACACAAGGCACAACCCAGAAGGATCAGATGATCCACCACCATGCCGACACTATAAAACAAAGCATTATTTTCTGTACAGCATAACACAATCACTACTTTATTCTATACTTGTGTTTTTACCAGTGGCTGATAACAGTGTAATCATCAATATGTTGACAATAGGACAGCTCACTATATTTTAAATTATTTTAGCAACTTCCATTTCATTCAGCAACAGGGATTTGAAAAATATGATGTACTGCGCAGCTCTTATTAAGATTGCAGCCAAACTTCTAAAGCTTAAAGATTAAATATGCATGGGTTACTTCCTGAGATCTTTCCCTGGTTTTATTATGAACAATGGAGCCAATGTTGTAGAGAGTACTGAAAGATGGCCAATTTGCACATGTGCCATGTTTTACTCACTGTCTGAACCTGCTGGTATAATATTTCCTTAAAAGTGACACTATAAAACATCTTCTGGCAAAAGCTTGATAAAAATCTGTAAACAGTTTAGCAAAAGTCTTAAACAGCTGCAAGAGGAAAAGGTTACCAAAATTAAAGCAGCAAAAAGCAGCTTGATATAATCAAGCTGTGCGTTGGATGTAATCTTTCTGGATTTCTGGATTTAAGGAAGGTCTTTGACACTGTCTCTCACCCCATTCTCATTACAAAAATTAGGAGATTGTGGTGTCAATGCATGAGCCAGAAGTGCAGGTGTGCCTGAGGTACCAGCAGGATTAGCAGCAGCAGGGTATGGTGGGTCAGGCAGCCCTCTGTCTGCACAAACATTTCAACATGCAGTGCCCAGAGCACACACAGCAGAGGCACACATGAGGCACAGCACCGGCACAGAGGGGGCCCAACCCCAGGGTGACTCCCCAGAGAGGCCCCCAGCAGGGAGGACAATGGCATGGCTAGCCCCTTGTCTCAGTTGTCCAGGAGCCCTGCATGGCCCAAGCCTGGGTGCCATGGACTGGGCAGCAGCACAGCAGAGTGGCTGGCCTGCAGGGAGGGTGGGGTGCAGGGTCTGGAGCTGTGGCAGCAGGTGCTGTATACAGTCTGGCCTGGCCTGCCTTAGGCAGGGGGCAGAGGAGGCAGGCTGCCTGCAGC